ACACAGACAACCCCGTAACAATATGCGTTTTGTATTGCTGTTACACAGCACAAAACGCATAAAAACTGGTGTGAGGTATTCTCATTTTTTGCAAAATCAGTCTGAGGATTTTTGCAAGACAATAATGATGCATAGTTATGCAACCACCAATCTGAATCCTAGCCAAAAAAAAAAAACAGATTGGAAGCAATCGAGTTCCCCAAAACTAGTCAGATCTTCCGTCGAACTTGCAATAACAAAGGTTTTATAACGATTTTTTGAGAAAAAGAAGACAATCCATAGATTTACACGGTCAATTCATGGACCTTCGAACAATTACTCCTCCGCCGCAAACGGTGTTTCCTTTTTCGCAACAGTTACCACATTTCGCAGCAGCACATTATTCTCTTCACTTCACAGTGATATTAAAGAGATGGGGCCAATTTTTCGTATTTTGTGTAAGATTGGATAGAGATAATCTATTACTATCAGCAACCATCAAAAAATTAGCGCTTTTACCAAAAGCACTACGCCCCATGCATTTTTATGATGGCCGCTTAATAGTCTTGAAATTACCTTTCACACGCCCTTCGTCACCAAAAATTATGGGTTTCAGGAATTCATCAGTTTCATCCTTTGCATATCGTCCTTTGATGATATCAACTGCCTTATCAATCGTTGCCTTCTCACCAACACCTCCAATCATCGCATCGTAGCATACCTACAATATCCGTTCGATCAAAGACGCAATTTTTGCTTTAACACCCCCAAAAAGAACTAGAAAAATTACGGGGGAAAAAAAAGAATCTATCCGGCTTACCCGAATGCGTTCCCATCGTTTATCTCTGTCCATCGCATAATAGCGCCCTACGATTGTTGCTATTTCGCCGTATTGCTCTTTTTTAAGGTAGTCAATTAACTGCTGAAGGAAAGTGACTGAAAAACAACATACTTATTAAAAAAATATTTGAATACTGACAGAATAATACTGTGAAAATCGACATTTTTGCTTCGAAATCTCGACGACAGTAGCCATCGAGACAATGTTCCGTCATACAAGATCATCCGAATCCGCGAGCGAAAAGCTCGAGAACAACATTAAAATGGCTCAAATGGTTCTCCACTAAAAGGACCATTAATAAAAACTGGTAATCACAAAGACATGCATTTTAAACCAAAAAAAAAAAACAGGTATAAAGTGAGTTGGATTTTAAATCAATTTTGCTGTTACCGACTTGACAAATACAAATCGGTGTAAAATTATGAGAAGGAACAGAAAAACAGCGAAAAATGAGGAAATTGGGATAAGTCAGGTCCAGTTTGAAGTGACCAAATTCTATTCGTGTTCTGTTTCCAGGGCGCACGCAAACAGGCCCTGATCCAAGCAGAGAAGATAGCCATCAGTTTAGCAACTGCATAATTGCATATTTTTGGGAAAAAATATTTCAACCTATTTTACAAAATCAAAAAACAATGGGGAACGGTACCTCCGCTTGTTGGACTCGTATCGCGACCATCGCCATAAAAATGGATGTACAATT